TGACAAGTTACAAGATTAGAATTAAAAATATGAAAATTTTAATAAAGATGAAATATTATCCTGTTGGGAATTTTATTGTGATTTTTTATTTTTCTTATTATTTCTATAATATTATATGATTTTGATATTTTTTTTTATTAGGCTGAAATGTAGCTATATGCATTAAAATTTAAATTTTCTAAAAAAATTAGTCAAATAATAAAAAAGAAAAACAAATTTGAATCTTAAATAATTCAAAAAAAAAATACGACATCTGGCGTTTAGTGTGTTAAAAACTAAAATATTTTCTATTAAAGTGTTTAGGTACTAAGAGTACTACAAAGCTCGAAATATTTAATGTTTACCTCAATTGTTTAAAGGCATTATAAACATTTTTGAATTACATATATACAATATGTATATACATATATGGTATTCGCATATGTATATCATGTAATTCGTGTATACACATAATATTATTAATATTCGAATGAAATTATTTTCACATTTGAAATTTTGATATGCTTCTATAATTGGAATTCTAAAATTGAATTTTTCAATTATTGACGCCAAATTTTAAGACAAAATTCAAGACATTGTACTGATGCATTATGTATAATATATGAAATGTTAATTTTTATTGTAATTAGTATTTAAGTTCCCTGTTTTAATGATCGCCTATAATTTGAAATATGATATAAATTTTAATTTATAAAATGAATTATCAAAAAATTCCAAAATAATAATAAAAACAAAAATTTGCTGATAAATTATTACAAAAGGAATGACAATAAAATATGCTTTTCAATAACTGAAAAATAAAAAAAAAAATTTTGAAGCACAAAACTGAAATAATTTGAAAAAAAAAAAATGTTTTATATTTGCACAATAATAATGCAAAAATATTTCCTTTTCTTGTTGTAAATATTCTAGGAAAATTGAAAGGAATACAAAAAAAAAAATAAAGTTTTTATACCTACAACATAATATGAAACATATTTTTGTGTTACTATAAACCCCCGAAATCGTTTCGTAAATTAATAATAAATTAAAACAAAAAATGGTGAGTGTTTTTTTTAAGAGATCGCTCAATTCAAGCTAAATATTCAAGCATATCAACTGCAAAATCTAGTACTACTTACTTGCAGTATTTACGTGATTTTATTATAAATGCTAAATCACTCCTTTAGTCACTTGAATTTTATTTAAGTGATTTGATCGCGAACGCAAGAATTTCGGGTAAACATAATAACAAATTACAAGATTGAAGATAATAAAGTTTCTTGTACACAAAAAATACAATTGAGTCAGTCAATTACTATTGAGCGCGCATACCAGGTGTACATCTGTAAATATTATTATTTTAATTGTTTTTCTGCACATATGTTAGTGTACATATTTATACACACAAAAAAAACATTAAAAAAAAAAAAACAAATAAAAACAAAAATACAAACCGATATAATGATTCCCTGCGAATTAAGCTTATTTTTATTCCACTCATCATGACAGCAAAGCGATATACTTTGAGTGTGATAAGTGGATGAAGCGCAATGTTTCATTTATTCTCATATATAGTTATGTTCATACATACATATAAAAATACACATTTTAATTTCAGAATCAAATGAGAAAGAAAAAAATATAACGGCGCAAATGTTCTACACATTTTAACATACATATAAATATATATAAATTTTAAACACTTGTATAACAAAATATGTGTACATAGGTACTTTAAATATAACAAAACTGTTTTTTTTTTTATTTGAGCATAATCAGTAATATGAAAAACAAACTCTTGATAACACGATTTTGTAATCAACAAAAAGTGTTCCAAATTCATGTTTTTTTTTTTTTACTTTAAATCCTTGTAGAGTTAGCCCAGGTGCATTTAGTGAAAAGCGTTGATTAAAAATGAAGTATTTATGTATATTCAACTAAAATAAAATAAAAGATGTGTAAAAGAAGTAAAACTTTAAGGCGGTCGCTTATAAGGATTTAAAAAAATTTTATGAAAATTTTATAATTTTAAAATGAACATACGATCAACAATGTTTAATAAACGAACCATGGTTTTTGTCCAAAGCTATTCCAAATTGTTTCAACTGCCTAAGGAATTAATGTGTGGGAGGTATTTTTGTATAGTTTAACAAGCCGAATGCAGATCTTCTCTATTTTGGAAGATCTTACCTAATTTATATCAGTAAATGGTTCACACTTTCTTAGTCAGTAGCTTTGAAAGTTTGAGTTTTAATATTTTCATTTAACCCCATTCACTTAAAATTTCTAAAATACTATACAATTAAATTTTGAATGACAGTTATGACAAGATTGTGTTTATGCATGCGTTTGTATACAACATAATATATGTATATGTATATAAGTATATTATGTACACATACATATCAACTTAATAAAAAAAAAAATTTATTTTCTCATTTTTATTTAAAATTAAAATGAGAAAATAAAGCGAGTAAAATAAATTTATAAATTACAAGAATCGCAAATTTTATTTCACAAAACTCAATATTTAAATCAAACGCAAAATATCAAATTAAAAATAAAAACAAAATATAAAAGCAAATAATATAAAATCATCACAATTCAAAATTTAAAATTATGAACATTAAATTTATTTATAAAAAGTTTTAAAACCAAAATTATATTTTGAATTCTTTTTTTTTATTGGCATTATAAATATACATAGCATACATATACCTAGGTATTACAAGAATTATCCAACAATAGCTTGTGTACAACAAAAATATAAAAATATACGTGTATAACAAAATTCTAAGTCTAGAGTCTAAACGTATAAAATTCACAACCATAACAGCATAAATATTGTACATAAACAGGAGTAGTTTGAATTGGAAGGCGAATTTTCTCTCAAACAGGAATGAAAACTAACCTATAGACTTAGATATTAAGTTTCAACACTTACTTTCCGGCCTATAAAACTAATAAAACCATCTAACCAGAATAAATGTACATTTCTATTTTTCTAAACATATGTACACAAGAAGTTCATACACCTGATCTGTTATACAATCTATATGTACATATATATTTTGATGACATGTTTGATTTTCAAAAAGCATATATATTTATACATATGTTTTTTGAAAATCAAACAAGTATAGCAATTCGAACGTATAATTATAATATGGTAGTAACTGTTATACGTAAGATTTTAGGTATAACAGTTATAAAAACTATTTATAATCACTTTTAAATACATATCTATAAACGGGATCTTACAGTCGTAAGTTACAAATTTAAATCAAAAACAAAAACGAAAAAATTTCGTTTATCACTCACTATAAATAAGTTTTGTTATTATATTTTATATAAAAGCTTTTACGGAAGCTATGCATTATTATTGTGCGGCTAAAAATTAATTAAACAGGTCACTGTTTGTCGGTTAAAATACACAATTTAGTCTTTATTATTATCTACATAATGCATACATGCATATTATGTACATATATATACATATATGTAATACTATCTGTATAATAAATATTCAACATTACAATTTAAAAAATTTTGTTTTAAATTTTTTTTTAGTTCGTACTCGTATATGTTATAAATCATGTTCAAATAGAATTTTAAATAAATATATAATAGATTGTACATAGATATAAATATACCACATTTTCAAATACATAATATTGTATATACTCTCATATATTTGGCCATATCTATTATATTTGTACATACATTTGAACATTCATTCTATATGCAAATATTCTATATATGTCTATATAAAATTCTCATTCTATTTCATTACAAAATGTTGTAAAATTGTAATTATAAATTTACAGATTTGTAATTAGTTTATGGTTCTTTTGTAATTTATAATAAAAATTTTAAAATTTATTTTAATTTAAATTGTATATATAAATTCTATTTTAAAATTCTATTTAATCTCGTAACTATTTTAGAGTATAGTTAAAAATATAACAGTAAAAAATAGTTAAAAGTATAATTAATTAAACCAAAATACTATGTAAGCTTTTTAATTATTACTCCCTTTATATAAAATACATACACACATACATTCATACACACAATCGAAATTTAATTTTACAATAAAATTTGATTATTCTTAAGGGATGAAAAAAAAACAAATATTTAATTTATATTTAATTACATAATAGGATAATAGTAACAGAAAAAAAAAATTACAAATACAATTAAATTACCTAACAATTCATTTTTTTTTTCAAATCACAATCTATAATTTAAAAATTTACAATTAAAAATTTTTTAATTATTTTATTTTCTTAATGATTTACAATATAGGGTTTAATAATATTCAAAATTTAGTTTTGAAAAATTTTGTCCATTATTTTATATATTGATATATAACAAAAATTTATAATATTTTTGAAAATCCTTTACTTATATTAACACATATAAAAAATTATGATAAACAATATTATAAATCAAAAATTTAATTAGATTGAATGTCCATTATGTAATGGTATTGTTATTTCAAATTATTGAAATTACTGTTATAATTGTTCTATCTATAAATTAGAAGTGGCCGACTATATTTAAAGACTTAATTGAATTATAAATTCTCTAAAAATCTATTATTAATGAGAATCAACTCTTTAACCAGTTCCCTGTAATTGTATCTCCGAAGTTTTATTATATTTCACCGTCTGAACTAAAGTTACACTATCTATACAAGTATGGTTAAGTAGTAAATGTGCTTAAATTGTTATACATTTCGTTTACCATTATATCGTTTTCTGCTTTACTACAATAACCTCGTTTAAATCATTATTATTTGTTTGAGTATTGGTAGCCTATAATTTTAGTAACCTAAGTAATATTTTATATATCCATGTTATATAATTAATCAAGTTTATCCATAGCTTCCAGTTGAGTTGGGAATTCACCAAGATAATGTGAATGTTATAGAGTCAGTCTCCCTTTTTTTTTGCTAAAAGTATAATATATGAAATTAAAAATAATTTTTAAAAGTATATATACAAATTTCATACTTTCTTATTTTACAATACGCCACACTTAAAATGATGAAAAATATCCCAACTGAAAATTAGAACTTTACAGTTTTTCATTGATAATATGTTTATGTAAACGATAATTTGTTTTGTCTGTTGTTACCTATCCATTCTTTCCTGAAATATCTTTGAGTCACTTTGATTTATATTTAAATGTAGCTTGGTTGAGTAAAATTGCACAGTTTCACTTGTATAACAGTTTTGAAATGTATAACAGTTTCCATTCCTCTTGCATAACAGTTTTAAATCGTATTCTATTTCGTTTGAAATTTTAAAATTTCTGACCTATATTGTTGCTAATATGTTCAACCAATTGTACATTCGCAATTAGTTCTAGAAGGCTTACATTACCTGCGAATAAAATAAGATAAAATAAAAATTAATTCACTTTACTTATTATGTATGTACATAATGTATTTATATATACATATAACATATACTAATATGATGTATATTTTTCAAATTGATCCTTGAAACGTCCTTATATACATATACATATATTCATATTTTCTTAAATTTAAAACATACCATTTATAAGAATTATAATTAATACACGTTTCAATATGATTTATAATTATTTATACAATAAAAGAAATCAGCAAGAAATCTTTAAAATACTGTTTTTAAAATCTTGATTACCTTGTTTAACCATATTTTGAGCAGAACCACCCCCCCCCCCCCCCCCCCCCACTTATTTATACAAAAAGGTAAATATTATAATAAACGTATTTCTTCTAATGAAAATTTTAAAAAGGAAAGACTCCCCACATTTTTCTTATATACGAGTATCATAACTATACTATACAAAGTTAAAAAATTTTAAAGAAAATTATTTCAATTGTTTAAGAAAAGTTCATATTTAATTTTACAACAATACATACAAATTTATTTTAATAATCAACATTTTCTACTTCAATAATCACCAATTTAATAAGTTTCTTAATCTTTTAAAACCAAAGTTTTCATTACATACATATACATACATATGTATGTAAAGATAATTATAATAATAAGTGTATGAACGAACATAAATTTTGATATTTTATAATAATTAAACCCTTTTCTACATATAAAATAATATAAGAAATAAAAAAAGGACAATTATAAATATTTTTTCTATAATTATTATTAATAACAAATAATAATTAAAATCTTCAGACATTTCCCTTCTACGTAAACATATATACATATATACATATGTATAATAAAAGACAAGCTATGTATATTAGCTATTAAGCTAATAATTTTGATTAAAAATACTTAAATAAAGAAAAACAAAAAGACAATAAAAGTCTATTTGCAATATTATTTAACTAATGCACATATATGAGTATAAAAATATTAGAATGCGATACGGCATGGTATGTTAACATATCCCTCTATTAACGTAAACATACACTACTCATATAATGACATATGCAATTTTCTACTACAAAAATAGTAGTACAACAAAAGAAAAAAAGTAGTAAAAAATTTTTAAATGACCTATAGTTTTTATTTAAAGATTAATCAAGATAAAGCTTTAAAGAAATTTAAAGAACAGAAAATTTATCAAAAACAAAAAAAAAATTTAATTTTTCATGAAAATGCACCAACTGCTCAGAAATACAACAGAAAATTTAATTTTTCATGAAAATGCACCAACTGCTCGGAAATACAACAGAAAATCGAAACATAGTTTAATTACATTAAACTTATATATACGCATACATATATTAAATGCTGTACACATACATAAATGTAAACATAAACTTTGACAATTTCAATGTATACATACATTTATGCATTTGTAGTAAAACTTGTACAACTATTTTTGTATATGCATTTGTACACAATATTACTTATATAGTTTCATTTCCTACAAAAAAAAAGGATATTTAATGTTATAAAAATGGAAAAGTGCACGAACAAAACTGGCATACTCTATAGCATACATACAAATGTATACACAATTTTAAATAAATTTAAATATAAGAAATTATATTGTGTGTTACAAATCTACAAGCCCTAAACATATTCAATTCCAAAAAAATAATATAATTTTTAAAATTAATTTAATAGAAATTGCAAAAATTCATCAACAATATAGTTGAAATGTAAAATTGTCAAAAAACGGCAACACTTGCATGTACTACCTATTTGACTTGCATATAACAAAAAGCAGTGATGGCAAAAAATAATGAAATTTATTGAAGTTTAGTAAAAATATTGATCAAAGTGAACGTGAAATTAGAAATGCCTTGTTTATTTTAAGGCAAACGCCTTAAAATAACTTTGAAAATTGGTTCGATGTCTTTGAAGGCAGATTCAAATGGAGAAAACGAAAAAAAAATTAAAGTTAAAAAACTAATTGTTTTGGTGTGGTGGAGGACTCGTATCTTTATAAATATAAAATATCTCATATACATACACATATATAAAATTTCATACACATCCATAAAATATTTTAAAATTAAAAAAAATTTTAAATATACCTTCGTTTCAATTTATAATGTAAAAAAATCCATATAACATTTTTATTAATTTTTGCTTCCTTGCAAACAAAAATTTGTAAAACTACATACACTTTACACACACAAACATTTCTAATTTAAAAAAAAAAATTATACTTGCTTATTGAATACATACATCCAAGCATATATCTATTGTTAACAGCTGCACTTTTCATATCATACCACATTCTCTATGTAGCTACATGTATACATAAATAATATACATGTATAACTACAAATTAAAATAAGCCATAGCATATTGCAATACACCCAAACCTCGCTTTACGGCCTAGATACGTTCCGCGAAACTTGGCCGTAAAGCGAAAAGCCGTAAAACGAATCAATTATTCTAATACGTATTCATACAAATTCAATGGGATCGGTTCCAAATTTGATAAATATATAATATGGTTTATCATTCAAAATGCATTTTATTTTTTTACTTTGTTTAAATTATAAACATATTTAACAAGAACATAAATTTTACATAAAATAAAAAACTCCAAAAACATTACATAATTTTTAAGTAAAAATGAAACAACTAAAACCTACAGATCACTGTCACCACCATTTTGCGCTGGTGGTTTGAATAAATCGTCTAAAGTTGTTTGTCTTGCTTTCTTGTCTATTTCTTCCTTTAGTGATTTATAACAGCTAATGGCTGAGTTAATTCCTCGAGACACATTAGCGCTACGTTCGACGTCAGGATCGTTTTCAAGGAGGATATTTATTCCTTGTTCAAAATAAGAAAAAGCGCTCGACATGATTTTTGATGTTAGCTGTTTGGATACAACAGGCTCTGTATCTTCATCAATTGCTGGTTCTGCTTGCAACTGAATGAGTTCCTCATATGAAAGGGGTTCCCTATTAGCTGCAAGTAGATCCAGCACATCAGATTCGTTTAAATCTTCAAAACCGAGATCATGTGCTAAATCCAAAATGTTTTGTCTAACTTCAGAAAGGAAATTAACTTCTGCATCGGTAGTTTTTATACATTCTGGCCATATTTTTTTCCAAACATGGTTCATTGTTGTCGATTTTAATTCCTTCCAGGATTCACTAATGTTCTCAACAGCATCCTTGATATTATAGTTTTTCCAAAACGTTATATATATAAAACGTTCCTTGATATTATAGTTTTTCCAAAACGTTTTAATTGATGATGTACCATCGGTTTCACTTATAAGTTGTTGGAACGTTTGGCGTAGGTAATATGCTTTAAACGTGGCTATTGCACCCTGATCCATTGGTTGGATCAGAGCTGTTGTATTTTTCGGAAGGTACTCAATCGCACACTGAATAACACTCGTAAACAAGGGAAACACAACGAAATAAAGACTGCGCTTGCGCAATATATCGACATAGAAAAAAAAAGCCGTTATAGCAAAACATTTTAGGCCGTATATCGAAAACGTACCTTAATTAAAGAGGGCCGTTATAGCGAAAGGCCGTATAAAGAGCGGCCGTATAGCGAGGCTTGGGTGTATTTATATATTCTCATCTAACACATACTCATATTCAATACAATATACATATGCATAGTAATAATTATATACAAAACACATTTAAATATTTCTTATAAACGCACACAATCATAATAATTTCAAATATCCTTAATGTAAATGTAAATATGTATTGTATGTACTCTATTAAGTAAAATACTATCATAATTTTTATTTTAATAACAAATTGCATTAAAGCATAATTTTTAAATATCATATTTACAATAATGCATACATATATACATATATTATAGAAAACATAAAATTTCCTTATAAGAAATTTTCGAATTTTCTATACTTTCATTAAATAAAAACAAAAGAACGTGATAAAACGTCAAAAAAAAACAAGAGAAATTAATACCAGGGCAATAAAAAAAGGAATAGAATTGTTCCTTTTTATTCTACATAAGTATTTTTGTTTTATTTTATTTTATTTTGTTTGCAACACTGAAACGTTTGATATTATGAAACATGTGTTTCTACTGAAACACTGACCGACCAAGACTGTATATACATTTTCAATATTTACATACCAGAATACATACCAATATGAAATTTATATGAAATAGAAAAATAAAAAAATAACATAGAAAAATATAGAACAAATTTATTGTTCCCTGTTTTTCTTTTTTTATTTTTTGTTTACAATGCATTCAATCTATCTCTTCTATACTCTTAAAATGTGGTGTGAGCGTAAAATGATTAGCATTTTAAATTAAATAATTATATATATGTACGTATATGTTTAAATGTACGTATGTGCCTAGATGCATTTAATATTATGTATAAATGTTAAAAATTTTTATGCAAATTATTTAAACTTTTATATCATTATTAAATTATGTAAATTTACCTTAAATTTATTCTCCATTAATTTGTTTTTATGTTGACAAATTTCATATCATTTTCAGACAGTAATTTTTCGTAATTTTAAAATTAAATTGATTTATTGCAATTCTTGTTACTGCAAGCCAACATTGGCAAAGGTCATATGCTCAGTATTTACATTATTGGTTCAGTGCTGAAAAAGTTTCAGATGATTACACTGTAAGTTTTATCTAAAGAATTAATAACTTGAAAAAATTTAAAAATATACTTTTTAGTTCCGTTATTTTTTTTGATAACAGCAAAGTATATGTGATGACTTCAGTGGAAGCTGATGTGAACACTGAGCGTGTAACATTTCCCATTTACATTCTTTCAAAATACATCATCTAAATATTTATAACAGCTACGACAAAACAATATCAATTTCATCCGTTATAAGTTAAAGGTTATATAATGTCATTTATGTGTCATAGATGTAATAGTCCCATGTACTAGGCAAAAAAGAAGGACCATCGGTAACACTCAAAATGAACACCCGACAACCTCCATGTAATACAAACCCAAAAAACATACATGAAAATTATTTAAATTTATTAAACATCAATATAAAGTCGGCATTTTTTAAATGTGTAAATTTTTTTTAAGAATATTTTACGAATTCTTTCTTAATTTTAACAATAACAACATTTTTGAATTATTTCTAGTATTACTTAGAATTTTTTAAAAAGCCATTCATTTTTAAATAGCAATAATTTCAACCTTTAACGGTAAAATTAATCACTGCATATTCTATTCATGATTTCAATCACTTTTATCTTAGCTCCAAACCAATTCACATTTTTTTTCAAATATAATTAAATTTCATTCTATACAAAAATTTATTGTGAACTTAAATATTTTTAGTTAATTTTCCACCATTGGTAAAAAAGTCACAAGCAAAAATCAATTCCATTTGTTTCTTTTTAAAATTCACCACAGAAGGAAAGAAAACGTCAAAGTAAAAAATTCTAATCAATAAATTATTACCAAAATGCTCTTACAAAAGTAAACAAAAACAAATCCTGTATTTTTAGGAATAAAATATTTTAATTTTTTTGGTATTTTTCTACTCAAAAACAGAATTATTCAATGTTGAAAAGTTGAAACTAAAGTGGAACCGTAAGTAAACTTAAAATGGTAAATTTAAATATAAAAAATATCAATTTTTGAGGAATAAAATATTACAAGACACTTCCTCTAAACATTTTAATAATAAAGAAAAAGTAAAGATTTTGTATTTTACTAAAAATTAATCAAAAAAAAAACATGTATTACTTAGTTGAATATTTGTAATTTGTGAATATTAAAAAAATATATAAAATGTATTTTGTAGGTAGAAGCTCGTGATAAATGTTATACTTACGAGCTAAACCAACAATTATCTATTGCAATTGAAAGTTGTTGTCATTACGTGTTTATTATTTTAAAATAAAAATTATATTTTCATTGTAGATTCAAAATTTTAATAATCAAAAAAAAAGTCACGATGTCTTTTGTACAAAGAAATCAAAGTCGTAAGTTTTATTATATCTAACATTTTCTAACATTACGGAAACTTAAATATTTTATTTTAAAATAGTTTTGGTTTTGGTATACATAGGTAGCTACCTATCTACCTACCTACCTATCTATTTAACTATTTTAATTTCTTTGAAAAACCTAGTAAATTTTAAATTGTTTCACCATTATTAACTATTATATTTTTCATAGAAAGGGTTTTTGGTATACATTTTAATTTACTTCTCTATTACATAACTATTATATAAGCAAATTTTAATTGAAAATTTATATAAAGGTGATGGAAATAGCTTTAAACTTTTATTTTAGGTCATTATCAACTATGTACACAAGTACTTAGCACACTTGAAATATTTCTTTACTTTATAGAACCTTTTGAAATACTGTACAATTATGAAATTTATATTTATTCATAAAAACTTTTCTCTTAAAAATTGTTTTCTATGGATTCCTTCCTTCTAAATCATGGGATCGATATCATTAAAATTTGCAAGCATGTATAAAAAGAAGAAATATTAGTATGGGGAGGAGTATAACAGTGGAAAAGAATTATATTAACGCTACTTCACAGTAAAAGATGCATAAAAATAAAAAATTACATTCATAAAAGAAATCAACTTTTTAAAAATATTAATCTTATTTTTTTTCTTTTAATTTTAGCGTGGAAATTAGCTCTTAAATTTAATTTCTATTACTTCGATATTACTTAAATGTGCTTGTTACACGATGAATTGCAGTAAATAGACTTAACAATTATTTTAGTAATTGAAATCATATTCTCTAAATTTTCTTTCAAAATGAAAATAATATTCATACTCTTGTTAACATTTAATTCTACTTTTATAATCAATGTTTTAACTACATCATGTACTTACAAGGATTTTTTTATAGAATACTTTGAAAACACAATTGTTAAAAACATCACACAGATTAAACCTAATCTTTATATATTATATGAAGTAAATCCTTCAGAAGGTTTTAATTTACGTCGAGATGTATACATACGTATGGCGGTATTTTTAAAAAACTTAAAAACTCAAGATAAATTCAAATCAGCAAAATTAGTTTTGCCACCATTTACAAAACTTTTTCATTGGAAAAGCCATGATATACAACAAGATTTTATAACTTGGAAACATTTTTTTGATTTAGATAGCCTTTCAATATTTACTGATATAATAGATTATGATGACTTCCTTGAAGAAATTGGTTTGACTTTTGAAGATCCATTAACAATTGATATTATATTTCAATTACAACATTTCAAGGAAATGTTTGAAAATGGTGTATTTATTGATAAATTTAAAATTGAAGCTTGTGATAAAAAAAATTTCAATATAAAATCAGTTTTTAATAAATGGAATTGTATAGAAAGAAAATTTTTATGCTTGAAATTCCAAGGTACAACGAAATTATTGTTGAAAGTTATAAATTTTGCATATAAAACTATAAGAACAAGACCAGCCATAATAATGTTTTTAAATGCAGAAATATTTTTACATGAACAATGGGGCAGTCAAAAATTTTGGATGGCTAGAAGAAGTATGAGATTTAATAAGAATTTAGTAGAAGAGGCAGATAAATTTCGTTTAAAAAATTTCAACTCAACAAATAATTTAGATTTAGTGCAAAGACCGCATAATTGGAAAGATGAAATTTATTATAGAGGTGCAAAAGGTGGTCCATATTTATGCGCTCATTTAAGAAGAGGAGATTTTTTAAATGGTAGAGAAAACTTAATTCCAACTCTAAAGTCAGCAGCAATTCAAATAAAAGGAAAACTGAAAGAATTAAATTATACAAAAGTTTTTCTTTCAAGCGATTGTACAAAAGAAGAATTTAATAACTTCAGATCTTATTTAAACAAAATACAGGTGTATAAATTTCAACCGGAACCGCATCAATTATATAAAATAAAAGATGGTGGTGTAGCAATAATAGATCAAATAATTTGTTCTCATGCCGGATATTTTTTAGGTACTTTCGAAAGCACATTTACGTATAGAATACAAGAGGAACGTGAAATTCTAGGCTTTAGAAAAAATTTAACATTCAATACATTTTGCAAAAATGAAGATCTTTCAAATTGTCAACGAAATGCTGTATGGCCTATTGTATATTAATATTGCAATATTTTTTTATATTAATCACTTATTACTTAATTATGCCAAAGAAACTTATTTATAACTCAAAACTTAAAATAAAAGTGATAATTTTTTTTATTAAAATATTTAATCAATAAGTATTTATTTCTAAATGCATGTATATTAAGAGCTATTAAAAAATTCATTATTCCGAGGTGAGTCTGGAATATGGAAATTAAATCAATAGTTGAAGTAAGAAGAAAAACGTAATAATAATAACAGTTTTCAATACATATCGCCGGCTGCCAGAATCTTTGAAATAAAATATATTTAAGATACATATTTCAACAACTATAATCTATATTTTACCATCGAAACATAAATTTTGAAATTGAAAGTGCGGTAATGGATAATTATTTGGACAATTTGATGTGGGCTGACCAAATTCTATTTCATTTCGTATTATATATTTGTAATAATTACATACAAAAGAAAAACTATCGTTGATCCTGCAAGAATTTGTTCACGATAATATAAATAATTAAATTATACAAATATGCATAATATCTTATACATCACTTACCTAGCCATTGCACACCCAACACGACTAATATAAGGATGTGCGATTACTGTAAAGTTATTATGGAAATCCAAATTTCGCTTAACATACTTTTCTCTAAATACTCTAAATAGTGCTTCTTTTGGCATATCATTTTTTTCCAGATACCATGTCCTTAAAACTGAATTGATAAAATTTTGAGGTAAAAACTTATAACGAAAAAAGAAAATATTTTGAACTATGTAATGAAATTCTGGGGCTATTCCATACGCCTTTGGAAAAAAAGTTGTACATGGATCGAGAATCCATGGTGAATGCTTGTAACGAATCCATGAAAGTGCCATATGAGATAGTTCATCATCCCAAATCTTTACCATTTTTTTAAAAAATAAATATGAAAATCTAACAAGAAATTATTCTAAATTTAAAACACTGACCACATGTTCCATATTTGGTATGTTCATTTTGCCTGCAATTCGATTGCGAATTCCATTATGTGCCAATATAATATCTTTTATCCGACCCTCCATTTGATATTCATAATAAATGGTATAATTATTCTGCAATTTGAAATATTTAAAGAAAAATAATTAAGGTTGTAATTCACCATACTTAATTGATTAATATGAAATTCTTACAATAACTTCATGTGAAAGAAAACAAAGCGTATGATTATGACCATTACAGTTTAACCTTTTATCACAATAATCAGTTATATTGTTAATCAAAAATATTGAAGGAGGATGTTTCATAAAACTCCCTTGAATTTCATTGGTTTGTATAACCAGGAATATAATAAAATAAAATGAGAACTGAATTTTCATGTTTTGAATTATTGATAATTGAGAAAATTTTATTTAATTATAATTAATGCTAACTTGATTTATTGAAAATGATGTACTTACATGTTGCGTGAACCTATAAAGCAGAGAAAGGGTGGCCAATGTAATACAATTGATATTGTTGTTATAAGAAAGGCCACCGAATTTTGTTGAAAAGACCAATATTATGTTATGATGTATGTATATGAAACAGCCCCAAAGAAAGTTTATAATAATTTTTATATGAAGTATGAATAAAGTTATTTATAAATCTTAGTTAAATTTTCTCCAGATTTAAATCAAAATTTTTGAGACACAAAATTATTATTTGAATTGTAACAATTTATTGTTGATTTTCATTTATTTTTTGTTTTTATCATTTTGAGCTTAGTTATTATATAATTTATTTTTTTTATTTTTTTTAATTTTTAATAAATTAATTTAGATTATTTTGTAACAATTGATTATTTTATAACAATTGAGTTTTTAGATTTTTTAATTTTTTTTTATTTGTTTTTATAATACTTGTGATTTTTTAATAATTTAAAGCTACAATATGCGCTTTACTTAATCATTGAATAAACATCAATTATATAATATAGTGTTCATTTCTGATTGTTATTAAATTTTCTAAAACTGCAAACAGAATGGAATTTCAAAAAAAAAAAATATTTTTTTTTATTTTTTTTTTTAATTTTTCTAAATTTATAACATTGAATATTTATACTAAAGTAACCTAGATTCTAAGAGATAATCGAATGATAAAAAAATTAATGTTGATATTTTTCCAATTTAAAAATTTTAACAGGGTATTTGAGATATAAATTACAACTAATAAAATTATGTTCAAAAATTAATGTTATTACATGTGTGAATAATTTTCAAAAATTTAATTTAATATAAAAAAATTAAATATTATTTTATAAAACGAAAGTTTTCAATTCGAGACAAATTTTAGTCTAAACTATAGTCTAAATCAATAATCATTGCCTGAACCAGTCCAGTAAAGGAAGATAATATTTTTCTGGAATTAAAATTGATTTAGGAAGACCTAGAACACAAAAAGAAGTAAATACATATGTATATCCTATTTACTAATTAATCAAAAGCGCTATAATTGTAAATTTAATATTTTAAATTATCTTTTAAAATATGAATTTCAATTTAGACCTATCCGTAACTGGGTATTTTTTATTTTTCAATTAGGAAGATGGTAAGTGATCCAAGTTTCATTTTGCAATTTCCAAACTCTTTATTTAACAAAGCAAAAATAATATCAATAGTTGGAATTGAAATTTATATTTTCGGATACGAAAACAAATATTCTATATAAAACAAACAAACAATTAACAGAATTTTTGATTACTTTAAATGAAATTAAATTAGGTCAACTTCAAAATAAACCATTTAATTATTATTTTTATATATTAAAAATCCTTGCATTTTTACAATAAAAATTTTTGAATTAATTTACGAGTATTAATTTTAAGGCAATTATTTTTTAGTTCTATTTTCAAGAATTAAATTTTTTGAGTATTTTATTACATTACCATTAATAAAGCATTAACATAATTTATTTTTTTTAAATATAAATTTCAATAAGCATTATATTGCAAATTTATATTCAGAAATAATAAAAATTTTTTTGATAATTCAAAATTTAAAAAGTAAAATTGGTAAATTTATAAAAATATTAATTCCATTCTTGATTACAGTATAAAAGGTACAAGATTACTACACTTTGAAAAATTTTTCATAATTCAATTTTTTTAATTTTAAAATTTGTAATTTTGTATTTATAATTGAAATGTTTCAAATTACTGTCAATTTAATTTCAATTGCTAATTCAAATTTTTAAATTAAATATAATTTCAATTTTATTTATTTTTAACAAAAAAAAATACAATGAAATCAAAAGAATTACATTTTCAATTATTTAAAATTAAAAATTAAAACTTAATAAAATATTTATTTTCAATTTAAGTGAATAAAATGATTTTAAATATTTTTTAAATTTCTTTTTAATAATATCTTTATTGTTTTTAAAATTATTTAATTTTTTTTCCAAAAATATTTTTGAAATATTTTTAAAGGCAACAGGTATTGTTTTTATTTTTTAATAATTTATTAAGATTATTTATTGCAATTATAATTATTATATAATTTAATAATTTTGTATTTTTTCATTATTTTTTTTTTATTTTTGAATAACAACTTAAAAAGATTGGAAGGTTTTATTATTGAGTCTTACAAAATATCGAAGTACTATGTATTTAGTAAACATTGTAACTTACAAGTACAAAATACTCATACTTTTTTTTTCACTTCCACATCTCTCGTTACACGAATTGCTCTCATATGGAGCTAAATATGGATTTATTATACATGTATATATATACATACCCAATATATTATTTTTAGGTATGTATGTATGTATGTATATATAGTTTTTTTTTAATCTCACCTTGTATATTTTGTTCTCGTATATATAATAAGTTATAAGCTAAATTCAAATTATGCCATTAAAAGTGTTTTAGAAAAGTGTGCTTTGACAATAATATTATAAAGTTTTTTTTAAATATTAATCATAAAGTTCATATTATTTAGTTATTTAAATTTATTTAAATACAAAAATTTATAAAATATTTAAAAAAAAAAATCATTAATATTATAACAGTTAATTTTTTGATACATTAATTATTTCAGTATATATATTTTGAAAAAATGGTCGGAATTCTTGTACAACAGTTTTGAAACGAAAAATTTTATTATCATTATATCAGTAATTATAATTTTTTATGCTACAATATGTAAGTACATATGTATATTATAATATATAAATTATATTAACGTTCGTATTAAAATGGAATTTAAGTTCGATAGGTCAAAAAATTTGCATTATAATATTAAAATACTATGATCATAAAATCATACCATATAAAATACTAAGATCATAAAATTACCAGCCAGTTTCTATGAGTAAAGCAACATTTGGTTTGGATCTGTCAATATAGTAATTTAAAAATATTATTTAATTTTGTGCTAAACAACCTATAAATTTATGAAATTTTATAAATTACACATACTACATAATTATAAATAATCTATGCAAAATTTAAATTAATTATATACATACATATAAAAATCGTTATGTAATATCTATGCAATGAAAAAGAGATTCTTTATTATACATAATATGTACATGTACAAAAAATGAATGAACATATTTATGAACATAGTGTTGAATTGTGTTAAAATATCGTAACAAATTTTATTAAATATTTCGATCTCTGTTGGAGAATATTTTTAGGATATGCGTTTATCCGTTCTGACTCCTGAGCTAATGTCTTTATATCTAACCTGAGCTGTTACATATAAAGACATTACATGAGCCATTAACTTGTACATTTTATTAAAACCATAATATATATTTGTCAGTATACTTTTATGCATAATAATAATAATATGATAATATGAAGCATAGTATGATTACTCTACATTATGCATAGTATAACATATTATGCATTATACATATGTAATAACAGTATTTAATTAGTAATTAAATAACGGGTAGTACTGTATAACATTATTATTATACATATTTATACGCAAATTATAATGTTTCTATACTAATATTTAAAATATAATTATAAATATATGTTTAACTTTAAACTTAAGCATAATTATATATAATGTGTATAACAGTTAATTGCATTTAATTCATATTAAAATGTTTTTGTGAAATTTTAATGGCATAATTTAAATTTAACTTTAAATTTGTTTTAAAAATATTATTGATTTTTTCTACATAAAAATTGCAAGGTAAGATTATATTTCAGTCTTACCTGGTATTATTATTATTTTATCGTATTTAAATGTGAAATTTTGAAAATCTAACTACATAACTATATTATATAATAATAATAAAGAATATCATTAATTTAATTATTCATCTTGTTTTTTTTTTTTAATTTAATTTTGGTAAATTTTTGTAATCCTTCTTTATTAATATATATATATATATATATATATATACATATGCATATATATATTTGTATATATATGTATATATAATATTTATTATTATTTTATTTATGATTTAACATTAGTCTTAAACGATCTTGTAAATAATCCACAACGGTCATATATTTTTGTGCTTTTGCTACTTGTATCGCTGTTAAACCATCATGATTTTTTAATAAAATATCAGAACCAGCGGCACATAATTGTTTCACAACCGATAAATGTCCAAACATAGCTGCTGCATGTAATGCTGTTTCACCATTCTAAAAAAGCAAAGAATAAAATGTTCATTGAAACTGCCTATATACATGTACAGGATTTATACTATATATTTATATTATACACATATTGAATATGTTGCATATACATACTTACAGGTAATAATCCTAAATTTGGTCTATGTTTTAATAATTCACCTACAACAGCTGAATAGCCTTTATGGGCGGCTTTAAATAAAGGTGTCGCACCATCACATCTTACAGCATCAACACTAGCACCATGTTGTAATAGTATTTTAACAATGTGATCATGACCCATTTGTGATGAGATCCATAATGGTGTTGCACCGTCATTACGTTTTGAATCGACCATTGCTCCAGCTGCCAATAATAAAAGTAATATTGTACGATGACCATTTTGTGATGCAACAAAAACCGGTGTGGCGCGATCCTAAATAATTGTCGATTATGTAATTATATTAAAATTGTATAACTTCAGTTTCATTTATTACCTTCATACAGCTATTTACATTTGCTCCACATTCAATTAATTCTTTTACTATGCCAACATGGCCACCTTGGCAAGCAACAAATAATGGTGTACCACCGTCCTATTAAATTAGAAAAAAAATTTTTTATTTGTAATTGGGCAAAACACAATCTGAATTGTAAAATATTAAGAGCATACAAATTTTCAAGATGTACGCATAATGTGCAAAACTTACCACAGAAGGACTGTCTACATTTGCACCCGCTTTTATTAAAATTTTTGCTACATCTAAATAACCGCCTTGAGCTGCAAAAAATAAAGGTGATGTTCCTGTACAACGCTTAGCATTTGGATCAGCACCTTGTTCTAATAACTCTAAAACACATGGACTATGCCCACTCGCTGAAGCTAATATTAAAGGGGTGGTACCATCCTGTATTTAAGAAAATAAGGTGAAACTTTTAGTGAAAATTTAAAAAGGTGAAACTTTTAGTGAAAAACACATTTTTTATAAAGAAATTTAAGTATGAACGCAGGCATTAATAATCTATTACGTTTTCTAATTGTAAAATTATTAGAATGTTTCCTATTGGGTTTAATAAGTTGAATAGCCTTGCATCTCTACATGTTTTATACAACGTTTTAAATCTAAACTAATAAATTAAATTTTCCAACACCAACCCTTCAATTTAAATCAATTTCTTGAGTATTTTTATTTTTTAACATCCGCTTATTGTAAAAAGACAATTTACTAATTACAAACATGGTAAAAGCACGTTTAAAGAATTTTATATTTATATATATTCATAAAAACTAACAACATGTTATTAAATTTCAATTTAAAAATACCGAAAACCTTATATGAATTTCCACTTATTCAACAAAGAAACATGTGTCTTCCCTTTATGGTACAAAAGTTATTACCTATACCATCGACTATCCAAATATGTGCTCCAGATTCATTTGTTTAACCACATGTAACATATCCTTCCTTCTGCACATATTCACTTAATGAAGACATATGTATACATGTGCACAATGTGACAATATCCCATTAAGGAGAGTATTAAACAACTGGGTATAAGGAAAATATATACATATTTATCTCTTATTTAATCTTAAAGTCTATATTAAATAAAATCTAATATATAATTGAGATCTCAAATAAAACTATGATTATTATCTTAAATTGCAAAATAAAAAAAAAAATAAAAATGTTATTTAATTATTGCCATAATTGTATGTATATACAAATACAGTATACACTTTTTTAACCCTTACAAGCAGCACAAAATATTTTTAGTTAGAGTTACTACTTAATTAACTGTTATACAGTAACAGTTCCAAACATTCTCGAAGCAAGCAAGCCTAATTTATGAATCTCTGTTCTATATGGGAAGTAAGTATACGTTAGAAATTTCAACTACTGCTTTATATAGTATAGAGAATAGACTGATGTTTTGTAAAGGACCATTTCATTGCGAGTGTTATATTTCGTTTTATAAAACTAAATTTTCTATATTCTACTAAATTTCATTTATATAAACCAAAAGTCAGATTTTATGTCACAAGCGTTTTAAAATTTGATTTTATGTAATATGAACCGAACAAGTATTTACACACATTGGTGTTAAAATTAGTTGAAAAAATAGTAGTTCGAACTTTTATTGGCAGTAGGCATGTGGAGTTTTTTTTTAATATATTCTTTTATAATACAAAATTTACATCACCATACAGAAAGGGTTAATTACAGATTGAATTATATTTAACACACTCGCATATATATACATACATTTGTACAGGCATTTTGATATATCTTGTATACATAATAATGAGTGCTATGAAACTTTGTATAACAGCAGGAAATAAAATCATGTTTTCGATTAAACGAAGAAAAAAAACAAGAATTAAAGAGAAAAACTTTTATATAATATAGAAGTTATATTTTTATTTAAAATCGATTTTCTATCAACATAGACGATTGAGCAATTTTTATTTATACATGCATGCATGCATGCATGAACACATTTGTGAGCTGAAGAACATGAAAGTATATAAATATTTTGAAATAAAAATTATTATTTTTCCAAAATGGTAAGTGAAGAAAAATCATAATAATAAAAATGCCTACAAATTGCATCATAACTCTGTGCAGCTTGCCTATTGGAAGAAAAACACCATATTTTTCTCTTTTTCTTCATAAACCAGTTATATGAAAAATAACGATAAAAATCTATAACAAGGTTAGAAATATTTTCTATATAAGATTTTTATCAAATATTTTATAAATTTGTGGTCTGCACACAGTTCAATTACAACACGTTCACCGTTCGGCTTATATGTGAGTATTGTAATTTATTAAAAGTGAGTCGATTATTACTTTGAGTTTTGAGTAAAGTTTTTATTTTTCTTTGTTATAATTTGTAAATTTTTGCTCTCTTTTTTTATTCAATTTCAATTATCATTCATTTCTTTTAATAAGCTAGTTATTGTAAATTTAATAAAAAAAAAAAGAAAAAATTAAATTAAAAAAAAACTTATTTTTTTTTATTATCGATTATCGTCTCTTGATTTAAATTAAAAACTACTATATTTTTTTTATATGCTGTCTATGTATGTAGATACGAGTTAATAATAATTGAGTAAAGACTTTCTAATATGAATGAAATACGAGGTTATGCTTTCGCTCGAAGCCGGTCATGCGGGCTCTTAGAGTTAAAATTAATTTTAACGGGTAGCCTTTTCCCTTACCACTTTTTCAGACGTTCCAGTTTTCTTCTCCTAGTGAAAGGTCTTCTTGTTAGGGTTAAGTTTGAGCTCCACAGTTCCACACCAAGCCTGTCTCACCTGCACACCTCTTTGTATTATGTCGCAAAGAGTCTTCTCAAACTTTCCACTAGCTATGATAATAATATCACCAGCGTATGCTTGGACATCTATATCCCGGCGGCAAAGCTCCAAAAGTAGGCCATTCACCACCAGGCTCCATATCAGTAGAGAAAGGATTCCACACTGCGGACACCCCCTAGCCGTGCAGATGCACACCGTGCCCCGCCCGACAACACTTTCTGCAGCCCTTGTGAGCATTCAAAGCGATGTTGTTGTATCCACGTCCCTGTTCTCTAAGGCTCCCCCTATCACCTTATCTGAGGTATTATCGAAAGTCCCCTCAATGTCAAGAAACGGACAGAGCGCCATCTCTTTTTGTTCTAGTGTCCTAGCGATTTACCCGCCTGATACGCATTCCTACCGCCGCTTAGCGGCTTCCGCACCAACACCGTTGGCCTTGATATGATCATCAATCGCCTTTTCCATCTCCTTGAGTAAGAAAGACTTGAGGCTAATTGGCCTGAATGACTTGGGAACCATGTCTCTCCTTCCCGCCTTAGGAATAAAGACCACCTTTGCCAACCGCCAGGATCCGGGGATATACCCGAGAACCAAGCTGCTCCTGAATGTTTTTATTAAGAAGGGTAAGACCCCTTCGCGCTGCATTACGTCTTCAAGAGAAGAAGAGCCCTTTGCTCTGCTCTCCGTGTAACTACTATCCGGCCCACTCAGAGATACTGGGATCACCCGTTGTCCTTTGTCAACACTCTATGTAACCTAGCAGCAGCCGGTGTTCCCGCTGTGACTTCGCAGAAAGATCTGAAATTTTTGCACTTGACCTTGCGGATCTCCTTGTTCCCTTTCCGCTTGGTTTTATTGAAAATCCCGGTAACCTTGCGCCTCAGGTTCTCTACCTTTGGGGTTCACTATGGCACGTCGCTTGGTCTCCCTGGCCTGCTAAAGGAACAGTTCGACTCAAATGCCTCGCCCATGGCCCTTCCAACCTCTTCCACAGATCTGTTCATTACGGCGCTCAGGTCCTCCCTTTATTTCTCGCAATTAGTTTTCGTAGTGTTCCTGAAGGAGGGCTTCTCTTCCATTGGAGAGCCGCCCCAAACTAAATCGAGTGATCCTATGGTCCGACATAGAGACCTCTTCCGATATTTTCCTGCCGTGTAGCCAAGTACCTTTCCAATTATTCAACGAAAAAATATAAGTGTTTTCAACGTGAGATCAAGTCCCTCCTCTTTAACACTTGTAATAAAAGTTGGGGAATTCCTTACATTTAATATCTTTAGATTTTCTTTAATTATATATTCTAGCAACTACTCATCTCTATTATTGGTATCACTGCTGTCCCATGCCTCGTGATGTGCGTTTACGTCACATCCGTTAATGAGTGGCCACTTCTTTTTGTTGCAGTACTCCCCAATGTTTTTTGTCCACCGCTGGTGGGGCAAATATCCCGTCCTCCGCAAAGTGTGCCAATGCCAGCACCACCTACATTATCTTGCTTCCAGTGTTAATGCAGGCCTTGACAAGTTTGAGATCCCTTGTCATGTACTCTGAAAGTAAAGCATAATTAATTCAGGGTTCTTGCACCATAGCTATGCCCAGATGTTGTTTCGTGAACACCGGGCTCTGGTTGGAGGTTAACCTGGGCCACCCTGGTGTCCTTGCTCTCATCGCTTTGAGTGCTGAGAAGGGGATCTTCGCCTGCCATCAGAGCAACTCTCTCCTAAGATGACTCTTTCAGACTAAAGAGTTTTAGCTCCAGGTCCTCAACTATCTCATCCAGAAAATTTCCAGAATCTTTCGGTGAGAAACTTTTTTAGTATTTAATATAAAAAATTATTTATAGCGTGTTTTAAATCAGAATTACGACAGTATAACATGTAATCAAACATCATTATAAATATATATATTATAAGTATATATCATTATAAATATATATACATACATAATATAAATAATAAGATTAATTTTTTAGTATAAACACTTAGCAATAATCCTTTATTTCACATTAACGGTTATAGCTGATCATCCATGATTAGATTTAATAAAGTACCAATATGACCGGTTTTCTGTAATTTTTCATTGTACATACAAAGTAGATAAAACATTAAGTATATTGTAAATTATATAGTGTATATGCTATGAAGACTCACTAGTATAAGAATAGCTGACTCGTACATTGAGTTGTTTAATATTTCTGCTGTTGATTACAGCACTTGTTAAGATAATTTGACTTAAAAAATGTGTATGGCCTACAAATAACTTTATGTCACGCTTAGGAAAACGATCTGTGTGTATGTTTATATATATCTGTTTATTTTAAATTACTCATAATGAAGTAAAAATAAACGTATTAATAATAATATTAACCTTCATTTGTAACAAATTATGTACAATATTATTGTACACTAAAATACTTGACTATCGCTACATTAAAATAATATTTTTTATATAATTAATTAGTGACCTTCGGCTCATTAAAGATGTCTATAAAAGAAAAAGCATTTAAATAACAGTAATTTCTGTAATATTTTAATTGCAATATGTACTATGTGAGACTGGATTAGTAGATTTATAAAGGTTTAGAAATATTTAACTTTGACTGAGCTGGAAGGAATGCTTTCTTCAATAAACAAGTACAATCTTACACGAGTATAAGTTATAGAGTATTGCAACCTTCTATAAACATTTTAGGGTGTCAGCATTCTTACATTTCTCTACAATTTATCCATTTGCAAATATTTTGCAACCATACAAAATACATTTTTAACATGATTTTCAAATAACTTAATAGCTAGTCCTCATAAGATGTTATTTTATTTCTTAAATCAATTTCTATAATATTATTTACTTTGAATTCACTTCTTAATTGGATTTTTCTCAATTTTAATTACCTTTTATATCAACAATAGAAAAGAGAAAGATTAAAAAAGTTTAAAAATCCAAAAAAAAAAAACTTACAAGGAAAGTAAAATTGCAATTTTTTTCGTTTTTTTTTTTTGTATGTACCTCTTCCACTAGTATAATTAAAAATATATCTAAAAAATATAATTACATACATATATATATTTTAGATTAAAGTTTTGTTTTAAGTTCCGGCATAAAAAGTCCATTAAATTTTCTTTTAATATATTAAGTAAAACAAAGTGCAGGTTATATAATACCTGCACGTTAATAATGTTTTAAATCTAATTAACTTTCATTGTAATTTTTGAAAGTTTATTGAGTTACTACTTAAATAAAATTTTTATTGTGGTTTAAAAATCGATTTCAAAAATTTATTTTATTTTTTTTTTCAAATTTAAGGAAATTGAAAAATTTTCCTACTTACTTCATCTTTACAATCCACATGTACTTTTCCACTTTCTAATACTCTTCTTAATGTGATCTCATCACCTCGTAATGCTGCCAAATGTAAAAGTATATCTGATGGTGTTTCTTTCTAAAAAAACAAAAAAAAAATAAATAAGAATTAATTTAATGCTTAATAAAAATTAAAGTTATTATGACTTGGAAATTTTTGTATGAAAAGTTACTGAATTTAAGGTATTGAAAGCATTTAATTGCCACAATTAACAATAATCTGCACTCTGAAATCAAATTTATCTTATATGAAGAAGAAGAGTTGCCAATGTCTACCAGAATGATTTAACATAATAACTCAAGTTGAAATAATTTTTTAATAAGAGTAAAATCGCACTACCACTTTAAACAACAGATCAAACTATAGAATAACTTTTCGGAAAATCAGAACATGTAAACCTATATAAACAGTAAGCAAAAAATTTTGTCGGTATTTTGTATTTGACGCCTATTTGTAATGTACTCTTTATGACGTATTTACGTATACATTCAGAAAACATATGCAAAATGGCCTATGGTCTGATCGAATCAACTCTTTTTTTTTTGTTTTACAAAACTGATGTCCCTATTATCACATATCATATTGACATTTTGTAAAATTATTAATTTAATAACAATTCAAAATGCAATCTGCCCGTTAGTTACTCGTAGTACTTACAGAATATTTTTCAATTATTTACTTTGGTAATTTAATAATCTTACACCTCAGTAATTTGATAACATTCAATTGTTACATAATTATGTGTATATAACGTTTTGTTAGTAAAACACACAAGATTGGAATTTTTGGAATGAAATATGTGTATATACATATGTATGTATTTTATGTATGTATTTTTAAAAAAAGGTATTTATGCAAACAATTTAAATCAAATGTACACTTAGTATGTACATATATCATAAAAACTACTACGACTCACATTCGTTATGTCGTTATTTTTAATAATTGCACATTATAGGTATACGTACATACATATGTATTTTTTTATTGCATCAATATAATATACAGGTGTATAAAATAGTAATATAAATACAAATATTTCAAAAAAACCACAAAAATCAAAAAAATAATGCAAATTTCTAAACCACAAAATATTACAACAAAAATAAGTTTTTTAAAAGCTAATTAGATTTCAATTAATGAAATATGGAAAGCACATTCCTATAAATTTTACATACATATATCTATAGTTTTAAAGAAATTACATTATACGTACATAAGTATTGTACGTTTTCAAAAATACGTAAGAACGAAATATTTAAGTTCGAATATAATTTTGTAATAAAATTAATCACGTAACATGCAAAATGAATTTTAATTGCTAATTCAATAATACTTGTATAACATACATAATTATATGTATGTATGTATGAATATGTGTATGCATAATTATTGAATATTTATAAATTCATTACAAAATTAAAATTATTTTACAATGGAATTTTTTATCCAAAATAAAACTTTTTTACTCTCTCATTGAATTGAAATTGAAATTTATTTAATTCTTTTATAATTTTAATTGGAAATATAAATTTAATAATATAATTCTTGTTATTGTATCTTGTAGAATGGAAGGTCGAACAATTGAACTTATATACGACTTCAATAATAATAATGTCACACCATCATCCGCCCCTCCAAGACAGAATGCGGTCATCAGTCATCAATCGCATTTTAAGATAACATATTGCCAAAGTATCTAGTATCGAAATCCCAAGTATCTAGTCATCGTCAAGTAAAACACAATCGCGAGGCAGGCCATCCCTGAAAACGAGCTTACCGATCCGTAACTCAAATAAATTCGCATTCAAGTTCATTGTGCAATTCATCCTATAGTGGTTGGTTCTATAGTGTAATTATCTGCTATAGTCAGTACTGGAAGGAACATTCAAACACTCCGTCGATCTATTAATTCCCCTGCCAAACTTAAAAGACACGCGGTCAAGGAAGTTTGAAGCTATTATACCGAATTTTAACACACAATTAACAAAAAATTGTCATACTTTTAATTAAAAATTAATTATTTCTGATTTTGTTGTTTATATATCGGTTCGTCCTCTAGTCTCTTCAGGTCGACTCAAGTATATTCATTAGTTTGATCTGCTAAATTTTTATTAAAAGCACATTATGTTGAAAATATTTTATTGCAGGCGGAAATATTTTACTAAACAACTCAATATTCTAGTTAGCCTATCTAGTTATGGGTCAAATTAATTTTTTTTCACTTCCCATAAATCAAGATTATTTACCTATTGTCTACTTTAATAAATATTTTCAATTTTCTTTTTGAATGCTATATAAAATGAGTTTACCGAGTAGGTGGTAAATTTCGCCATTTCGTTTTACTTTTATTGTACCTTTAATATTTTTTAATTTTTTTTTTATAAAAAATATTTACATTCACGCAGTATAAAAAATCTCTCAGTATTGGCGTGATCCTAAAAATGAAATTCGCCATCATCAAACAATGATTATATTTTTCAAAAAAAGAAAACGAACAACAATAACGAAAATTATCTATCACGCAATGTGCCTATTAAACGAAACATCTGTATTTATCTTGTAATCTTAATCTTCTTTTAAATGAATCTGCGGTCAATGTAGTAGTAGTCTTACTGATGGTATCATAATTTCAAAATTTTTGCGGTAACCAATTAAAACCAATAACTAAAATTGCTATGGTGTAATAATATTACAAATTATTCTCTAATAATTGGTTGATTTGGTTTTTCTTCACATAAGTATATTTGATTTCAATGAATAATTTGAAAAGCAAAATTCATACTTGTTGTTTTAAGTAAAATTAATACTTGCTGATAAAAAACCAGGGGGGTAGTCCTTCTTTAAAACATGTATTTTGATTGCCTGCCTGGAACATGTTTCAATTCTATAATCCGTAAACAAAATTTTTCTTTCTTGAAAATACATACTTAGGTCTTCCTACAGTAAATGAAAAATGAGAATTTCTCCAATTCTATTCTGAGTTAAGGTTTATTAAAACGAGTATATTATGGCAATTTATTACTGTTAAATTAGTCTACGTTCCTTTAAATCAATCGATTGTTCGATGGAATGCGTCAACCGTCAATAAAAGTATAAAAATTATATTATTTCTACTGAAGCAAGGAGTCAGTTTGAAAGGCTACTTATTACACCTTACGGTGATCGGAAAATATATTATTTTTCTAAAGCAAAATAAAGAAGAATTGTATACTCTTTTGGGACCTTTCTCATTAGCGAAATTCATTTTGTTTACAAAAATCATTATTAAAACGTCTTTGTTGAATCACTAAAACCAAAAAAATATTAAAATTACAGGCTACTTTTACAAATAAAAAATGAGATTTTTAATTTTCTTTCTCTTAATATTAAAACAAAATCTAACAAGCAGATTAAAGAGATAAGCTCTTGTGTACTTAATTAACATTTTAAAAATTACAAAACTTTTGACTGACGCATTTTTTAAACAATCACTATAATGAATTGCTTACCAAATTTAAATTAAATCTGGAAATGTGACACCCTCAATCAAAGAGAACTTCTTCTCATTAACTATACAACCATACTTAATACAAAAAATCAAATATCTCTAATTTTAATCTTTATAATCTATGACGATATTAAAGAAATAATTAAGTATATATATAAGTTATGTATAATATTAATGAAAGTTAAAATAATTTGGTTCAACATTTAAATTAATTTTATCTTCTATCTTTTATGAAAACGAAAAGCTCCCACAAATAAGTTAAAAGTTCATTTATTTTTGCGGTATTCTTATGGTTTATTCTTGATGTAATTACGAGTATGAAAATTAAAATTAAAAATTTTTTTGCTTTCATTTCAAACTTTAATTAATTCAATCATAATATTCTCAGAATTATAATTTCAAAAATATTTTGTCTATAAGAATTTTTGTAATTTTGCTCACAGATTGCCTATGTACAAGTATATAGATGTGCATGTATATAGGAACGGATGGTACATAATATGTGACTTAACACCCCGTTAAGACTGCCGTATGTAGGATATAAATTTTTGTAAAGAGTAGAATAGATGATGGGGCACTCCATGTGAAGCCAAATGAAATGGAGCAATAGGCAGGCCTTGCGATTGTTATGAATGTTGAGTTAAATTGAGCAATATGGTATTTCCAGCAGTTATCGATATTTCGATTTATAGATATCGGTATTGCGATAACTAAAAAAGTTTTCTAATTTGAACATTTTTTAGCTACATTTTCTTGTAACAACATCTTGTTTTCGATTGTTCTTTTTCAAAATATTTTAACGTGATTGTGGTCATACAAATCTGTTTCATATCAATGAGATATGTTCAATATCATAGCATAATCAACTCCCACAGAAGAAATTCAAGAGATCTTAAGCTTTTTTTTTCTTATTTATTTCACTTTTCGTTATACAATGAACTTCAATTATGCATGAATAATGAATATTCATGTTTCAATTACATAACATTTTAAAGGAATGTATGAGTATAATAAAATTTGACTTTGAAACAAAACTCGGCTACATAATATGTATAAGTATATGCAGCACTTATATTTATAATTCATTTTCTTTTTCAGCAATACAAGCACATATCTTAAAACGTGACATGTATGTATATATACATACACTTAATGCCATAATTGTAGAAACACAATACTATTTTTATTGTTCAATATTTCAATTAATGAATGAAAGCAAGCGTTACTATAACGTAAAATTAATAAGAGAATTACACTTACAATATTTCGCGATTTAATTATTTATTATGTAAAATGACGATACCATAGACAAGATTGTAACAATGTTATTATATTACAGTAACGTTAAACAATCGTCATCTTTTTCTTCATCATCATAATCTATACTCTTTATTATTGTGGAATCATGACTATCATCATCATTCTAATCATTCGATGTCTTCTTCATTAACAATAACATCTTTATATCTTTTCAAAATTTTTTTTATATGTTTAACTTTACTTAATATATATACGTGTGATGTATATATACTTATATGTATCATATATCATAGATCAGGAATGTACAACAATCAATCTGAGTATAGTG